TATCGGATATCGGCCAAAATCCCAATATCGTGCATCCCTAGTTGTTTTATTATAAGCCCCCCATGGATGACAAAGCTTCTAACACTATATCTACTTCAGACTCCAGACCCCCAACAGAGGAACATCAATTCTGCCCCCTGTATCAGTTTTAATTATTCTGGATTGATCTATATCATATTATCATAGACGTTTTCTGTTTGTTTGTTTTTATTGCTTTACTTTCCATACAGGTATTTATGATATTAATCAATAAAATATTACAGGCTGCTGGTTATTGTTAGATATGTTCAAATCATCCTTTCATAAATTAATAAACTGATGTTGGCTGATCATGACATCTCTACAAAGCTTACTTTCTCTGAACTATCCTTTTAGGGATTTTTTTGTTATGTTTTTACAAAATTAAATCAGGATTTCCTTCTGTGTACCAAATTTCGCCACAAATGCACCCAGACCTGGGCTCTTTAATAAAATTTAGCGAGGTCAGCACTAACCTGAGGGAGGTGAACTTATGTTGACCTTAGATCAGCAGCAGACTCATCTTCCAAATTAATGAAAGAGCCGTTTAAAAAATGGATTCGACCATAAATCACTTTAATCACTCCCTAATGAAACTGATGGGTGATTTATTTATTTTTCTATTTCGGCAGACAGAGGCGGGGTGGGGGCAGGACTAGTCTCAGCAGGTTTCTATCCAATCTTTTTGTCCCTGAAGACCTTTGAATGAAATGGAGAAAAAAAAAACTGTCGCAATTACAGCTATTTTCCAAAGTGACATTTAAGAAAACAAGATTTATTCTCACATTAGTCTAAAAAGGTATTTTTTTTTCCTGCTCTTTTCAGAACTTGTGCAGAACATAACATCTCAGCCCAGGCATCATAGGGAAAAATAATATCCACTTATTTTAGTCCCCATTCACAAAGCCTTTAAGGCAATAACCAATACTGACCTCCTCCCTCGTCATATGCATCCACTTACAGTACAGATGTAGGCCAGTGGCTGCTATGACTCATCCCACATTTACAGTTTACATGCCTAAAGTAATTATTTTCTAATGTGTTCATTCACATCAAATTTGAGCAACATGCAGCAAACCCAACACTGCATATCAGAATGGGGAGGATTAATGAGCTTAAAATTTGTATGAAGTAAAGCGCAGTTTTCTGCCAGAACTCAGCAAATGCCTAGGAATTAAAACAATGGAAACAATATTTACATTATTTTAAAAAGCTGGATTTCCACCAGAAGCAATTTTTACCCTGACATTGGAAGAACAGTTATGATGGCAAGGCAAGGCAAATTTATTTGCATAGCACAATTCAGTACAAAGACAATGCAAAGTGCTTTACATGATTAAAATGCAGGAAGATAAAACAGAATCAAAGCAAGTACCGGTAGGAAAAAATAAAAAATAAATAAAATAAAATAAAAAATGCAGAAACAAAAAGGACTAAAGAAAATATGTTTCAGTTGAACTGTTTAACTAGAACAGTCGAAGGCAATCCTAAACAAATGTGTTTTTAGTCTTGATTTAAAGGAACTCAGGTTTTCCGCACTTTTACAGTTTTCTGGAAGTTTGTTCCAGATAAGTGGAGCATAGGAACTAAATGCTGCTTCTCCATGTTTAGTTCTGGTTCTAGGTGTGCAGAGCAGGCTGGAGCCAGAAGACCTGAGTGGTCTGGAGGGTTGATACACTGATAGCAAGTCTGTGATGTATTTAGGTGCTAAGCCATTCAGAGATTTATAAACTAACAGAAGTATTTTAAAGTCTATTCTCTGAGATACAGGGAGCCAGTGTAAGGACTTTAGAACTGGGGTGATGTGCTCTACTTTCTTAGTCTTAGTGAGGACACAGGCAGCAGCGTTCTGGATCAGCTGCAGCTGATGTATATAAGCATTAAAACCAATTAAGAAATATACATTTTTCTGAACTAAGGAGGTTTGTTAAATCCCCTGTGTCAGGAAAAAAAATAGATTTTCCAATTCTGAATCAATTCTCATATTAATTCCTAAAGATTGATTCAGATTCAAGATAATGAAAAAAAAATTTCAACTGCCCTAACATGCACCATTAACTGCTATTTATTAATTTGCTGTTAAAATTTATTAAATATAAGTTTTATCATTATGTTGCATAACTACACCGTCTAAAACAGGTATAAATAATGTTTTTGATAACAGCAGTCCAATTTAACATCAGAACAGATCAGATAAGAAATTATTGATTCTTAATCTAATATGAATCGATTCTTAAAAATGTTATCAATTTGCAGCCCAAATCTGCAACATCATTTTTGTCTCGAACAAACAGAGGAGCTTTTATCACTACTATTCTTATGTCATTTGGCTAGTTAGGTATTTATTTTAAAATGTAGAAAAATAAAATATTAAAATCCCTTTTTCCTTTACCTTTGGGGGATGTACATGGTCAACCTCCTGGCAATATTATTAAAGCCACTGAGACTAAAATTAGCCTGATATGCACTCAAACCAACACCTACCTTACATTCTACAGAGTGGATGGGAAAATGTTTGGGGGTAATTATTATTTCCTTTGAACAAGCTTTCTTTGTTTTTATGTTGCCTTGAGAGTCTGGACTCTTTTAAAAAGCAGCTTTGTGAAACATTTAAGCTCTGCCTGTGGAGCACTCTGTAACTATGCTTAATTTGCTTTCTTAAAATATGGTGTTTTACAAACATTATGCAATTGAGTGCAGAGGAGGAACTACAAAATTCTTCACTCAAAGCACCCCATTCATTTCTGCAGGTAGATCACATATTATCCGCATATTGGATTGTGCACTCAGCATGATCAAATAGTGTGTCATCAGATTGTGAGTTTGTGAGACTGATAAATGAGGAGTAAGTTTAAAATAGCAGCTTCTGTTTGTGACAAGACTTTGCCATGCCACTCATCCTTCCCTGTTCCAAACCTGCAACACTATAGCCGCTTTAAAAATGATATAGGTTGAAAACTCCTTGTCAATTACAACAAATATATGTCATGATGTTTCTTTTGTAGAGATGTGTAGGCAATCAAAAGCTCCAATGAATTGTCCGGGCTGCAAATTACCTTTCAAAATAGGCCTTACTGCATTGTTTGGGTCGGTATTAATATAGCGTGCATACAAACATTTCTTACAACACAGCTTGGATCACAAAGCTCAGGGTTAACTGGTAAAATCTCCACCAGCCTGCCAGCTCCCTTTGAAATATTCCAGCATTGTCAATATGGGTAGAGGTAGTTCAGGAAGAGCACAATTCAAGCAAGACTGCACTTGGAAACCTAACATGGCTGATGAACCAACCATCCCTTCAGGCCAGGAAATCCTCATGGTCATTAAATACAAGCCCATTTCACACTGCACCATCTGTAATATCCTCTGATGAGGGTGAAGCCATTGTTACACAATAGATGTTTTCTGCACCACTTTGCACTTACTTTGATCTTCATTTATGTAATTGCACAAATACCAATGAAGGAGTTGGTGATCAAGTGAATAAAGCCATTTTTTTCCCATCAGCAACAGTTTTGCAGCCTAACATGAAAGCCATGAATCCTAAATTTGGTTCAAGATTTTATATACATATACATATACAAATAAGACCACATGGGTCTTATGTGACCCATGTGGGAAATAACTTTATTTTGCACAAAAAAGCTAAGTAAACATAAGATTTCCATGTACAGTTTTTTACTGCCGTCTGTCTCTGGAGAAAGGTATCAAAAGCAAGGAACCTGATTTATATATTAACCCCAAATAAGTAAGAAAAACAGGCAAAAGTCAATAAATAATGTCATAAAACTCAGTACTCTCAAAAATGGTTGAAAACCCTGCAGATATCAAAGGTTCTTAAAGTATACAATTTTTTTCTCTTAGTTCTTTGAGATTGAACTAACATTTAATCTGTAACATTACGCTCTCCCTGCTTTTTCTCATAGTAGCTTTGCCTCATCTGTTCCTGTTTGGCTGTGACCCCATCCTGGAGAGAAATATCAGCTGTGCTCCTGCCATCAACACCTTTGTTTATAGATGTTTGAGATCTGCCTGTTTTTCAGTAAATTCCTGTTTCTCTGACTGTGACTGGCTGGATGTGCTTTTTTCATCCTCCTACATGGGAGCTGGCACAGAACTCGTCAGCCTGGCTGTGAGTTTCCTGGATGGGGCCGCCTTTTACAGTTTTTTTTGTGTCTCTGCTTCTGTCACCTTGAACCGCAGTCACCCTCAGCAGATGGCCACTCACACTGAGCCTGGTTCTGCTTGAAGGTTTTTCCTCTCCACTGTCGCTACAAGCATGCTTAGTGTGAGGGATTGCATTTGAGTCAATGAGTCGATGCAATCTACTGGTTCTCCTTACATAGAAAACTTTGAATGAATTTGTCTATGATCTGGTGAACTGTAAAGTGCCTTGAGATGACGTGTTGTGAATTGGGGCTATAGAAATAAACGTGTATCTGCTTACCTTGTGTTGCTTCCACATCACAGCCAGCGGTTTAACGTCGTGCTTGGCGTGTTTCCCCTCCTCCAAACACTTGACGCACACCGGAGCCTTGCAGCTGCAGCAATACATGCTGAAGTTTTCCGACTCATGATCCACACAGGTCCCTGCTTTCCGCGCGGTGAGCTGCGGCTGCTGTCCGCCGCTCGCCGCTCCACCAGCCGCTTGGTTCGGCGGCGGTACCAGGCGGTGTTTGGCCAACGGACCGCGGGACGGGTGGCACCGCTGCTGGCAGGCGTTACAGTAGTATACGTCGCACTGCTCGCACATCACCGTGGCGACCACCGGGTTGCGGTCGCACAGCTGACACTTCACCGCGGAGGAGGATGAAGAGCACGGGATGCCGCGGGTCTGCTGGTACCGCATCACAATGGCCTCCAGAAGCCGGTTCCGAGGAAACCCCCGGAGCCCCCGCTCGTCCAGCGAGACGCTCCGGTGGCACAGCGGACAGGTGAGGGAGCAGTTCCGATGAGGGGCGACCGGCGGAAAAACCCGAACCCCGTTTGGAGACTTGAGTTGGCAGGGAGTGTAGGAGCCGTACCCGCTGTCCGTCTCGCTATACAGACTCATTTTATCCATGTCCAGGTAATCATAGTCGGAGCTACCGGAGGCACGGCTCTGAACCGGAGTCTCCCCGTCCGGGGTCTGGACGCTGATGTTCCGGGCGCAAAGCAGGCAAACATTGTGGGAGCAGGGGAGCAGGATTGGGTCCTTGAAGAAGGAACCACAAACGGGGCATTTCAGTTCTTCCTCCATGTCTTCTGTAGCTCTGTCCGCTGAGGCTGCTGTGGTTGAAACGCTTCAGCACCGACTGCCGCGGACAGCTCCCTGCACGGCTCTGCGCATGCGCACAGCGGGGAGGGGGCGAATCTGGCTGGATTTGATTCATCGCGGTAATTTTAGCAGCGCATCACATGAAGTGACCTGTACGGAAGAGGATTAGTGCCACTGGAAAAAAAAAAAAGTTAACTGATTTTTACATATTATTTCAGTTCAATATGGGAAAAAACTGAAATTTTAGAACTGTAAATATACAATCATATGTTTATATTGCTGTTTTTATCTATTTTTTACTGCACTTTTAAAAAATGAAATTGTTTAGAGAGCTGTTCTTAACGAAATTTCTTTTTGTTTACACTTGTGTGTACAAAATAAATCTAAGACTTAGTCTGAAAAAAAAAAGTCAGAATTCTGTCTTTTTTCTCAGAATTTTGGATCTTAATCTTAAAGGGCAACATGAAGGAAGAGATGTGTGAGCACTCAGCTTCACTGACAAAGATGTGAATTGTTTGGGAGGGCCAGTAACACATTTGTGGAAAATGATAAAATTAGGCAGCTTTTTAAATGAGGGGTCCCCTGTGATGCTATTTCATTAATGGAAGAGCAGAAGGTGATTAAAACAAGAGAGCTAGTTTAGTCTCTAAAACAGACATGGCTATGGCTTGATGCTAACATCTTTGTTAGTTGTCATAATTCGGTCAGAATTCTGAGATAAAACTCAGAATTCTGACTTTCTTCCCATATTAAACTGAAAAAAAATGTAAAGATCAATTAATTTTTGTTTACTTTTTCAGTGGCCCTAATCATCTTCCATAGACATGTTATCAGAGTTTAGAGCTGACTTATATTTTCCATTAACCCTTTATAGAGCACTCAGTGAAATACTTTGAAAATCAAATTATCAAGCCAATAGTGTTATTGGAATCCAGGACAAGACTTTATTACTTTTGTAAGATTAAAAAATACAGATATTTTGGTGGCAAAAATTGTCAATGTAATAACAAGAAACACCAACTTGCCCGAATATATAAAAATAAATAATAAAAGTGCATCTAAGAAATTCATGAAAAACACTAAGAGTGGTGAAAGAAACGTGTTGTTTTTTTGTTTTTTTTTTTTGGTACAACATAACATTAGATTCTGGCACTTCAATTTTTTAGCTTATAAACCTAAATATAATTGTTAACTAGGCTTATTATCTTTTTAACGTTACTTTTTAACTATTCAATTAGCTTTTTACCTTTTTTTCTTGACTTTTTTACTTTTTTTTCCAACTTAATTTACAGTACCGGTAGGTAATATATCATTTAAGGACTCATCTAATTGGTCAAAAGCCAAAATAAGATGTACAGTCATGTAGCAGTGTCTTTGCTGAAAGGCTGGATATAGATCTTGTGCTTCTAGACCTCAGAGGGTTAAATGTGTCTCTAAGATTTAGCATGTCCTTCTAACTACTCTGAAGTAAGATAATCACAAACAATATACAGTACTGATTTAAAAGTGTGGGGAAATGTTTTTGTTCATAAAAAAAAAACAAAAAAAAAACTGAAGCCTTTACCTAACCCTCTCTATAGTGAGACCAAAAAAAAAAATAGCTTTTTTGGGTGACTTTTTAAAAAGACCAAACCAAACATATGTCTCCTGCTAAAATCGATTCACAATCTTATTGTTATTCTCTTGTTAATTGCTTTGTTTCTTCGCTATTTTAAAACACGTGGCTTTATTTTTGGTGTAGCAATACACCAATGCACAAAAAATAAAATGATATAATGATTGATAAATAGGGATGCACGATATAATCGGCCCCCTATTTTCGGCCTGTTTCGGCCTGTATCGGCCTTAAAACTGAA